GCTGTCCAGTGCTTCCAAATTTTTGATTGTGATCTAGCTTAGATCAACTCATGAATTCAATTTTTCTGCTTTTCATACGAATAATTTCTAGACTTCTATATTGATGTTATGAGTGTTGAACATTCACGCTAGATTCTATGTTTTCTATGATTAATTAACTGCATTAAAAACTACAATTACAGTAATCATAAAAATAGTTCATAGTGCAAACAAAATAGCTTTTCAGTATTATGTGATTGTCATTTATTCTTCAGTTAACTTGAGATTATGAAGAAAAAAAGCTTTGCCCATAGATACATATATATAGTTCTTCGCGAAATTCTCTAACACTTTTTCATGTAGATTATCAAAAGAAAGTTAGCTATTTAATTTCAATAAAATATTTTAGAGTAAATCTGTATCATAATTTACAGTAGAAGTTCATTTTGAGTAACCTACGTTCAAATATAACTCCGACTGTAGGTCTTCTAGGGTTACTGCCGGTTCCAAGGCCGCGCAAATGAGGACGGTTGGTCACGAGGTCGGTAACCCCATCCCGTAAAAATCAACCTTGCTAAAAAACCGCTAACCAGTAAGTACATCGAAACATAAATGCTAATATGAATTATAATGAAAATGTTACATTCATTAATTGCTAGAATTCAGTATAACTGAATTCAAATATAGTCAGTCAGCTACAACACAGAACCAGGCATATATGTGTATTGGTCCAAGTTGCCACATCTCAATAGCGCAACAAGATGAACACCGAATTCATAGAAGCAGTTAACTCAAGAAAGATTGCATACGAGGATATAGTACAGGAATAAATAATTAGTTCCTAGAAAGAAAGATATGAAGAGATTTTAATCTCTTAGTTTAGAGGAAGACAGAGAGTGTATACACCATATATCCCTTACTACTTTAATTTACAATACTCTAATAGAGTCTTTAGATAATAAGTATAGTTTAAAGTTTCATATGACAGATCTTTACACATAAATGATTATTTCTTTCAAAGGAAAGTTTTACTATTTATGAAAAGTAATTTAGCTAATGATTAAGTTAAGTTGTATTTTCTCTAAGTAAAGAAAAAAACAATCAGATTTGTATTTACAAAACTATCACCATTCCATGGTGAAGTATAAACAATAATAAAGATAAAAAGTCAATAATTTGTGAATGTATTAACTTTTCGGTGTTTATAATTTGATTTTTGAAAAAAAAACCATTGTTTAGATTTTAAGCAAAGATAGATGGTGGTTAGTAGTGGAATTTAAGACGAGAATTCCATCCTAATTTGTTACTCGTCAGCTGAATGTACTTGCATCTTAGAGTTGATGTTTAGTCCAAGATTCTAACCCAGTACCATTTAGACAGCCATTAGTTTGTGCAATAGAGTGAGGTTTTAATTCTTTTTTGTATTGGTTTTTGAATCTTCCAATTGATGTTTAGGACTGTAGGCACATTCATGTAACAAGTTTCAAATAGGACGATACTCGCATCCTGGAATCCACTGCCAGACACCATCCGCCTTTGCTTATAATACTTGTTAGTTAAGGCAATATCGGGGCAATCCGCACATCTTGCACATATGACAATAAGAGATAGATCAATTACAATCCTAAACAACAATAGGAACATTCAAGCAAACAATACAGAAATGAATGTTTAGATTTTGCTTATATTTTTATATTGAAAATCTGATTAATTCAAAGTTGACATTAATATGTATCGGTTCAAACTGCCGTACATTGTATTAGTACAAAGAAGAAAGTAGTATAAATGAAATTGAAAATAACCACAGTAATAACAACCAGCTGGAGTTGACAACTAAATATGAGAAATATAGTTTTGAAAAAAACAGAACGAATAGTACTACAGCAAAAATAAACTATGAAGCTCATAGTTTAAAGAAAGAAAAAGAGTGAATGTAGGTAGTTTCATACAATCTGTTGTTAACTAAGTCATTTAACATATCCAGGTATAAACCATTTTGATGATTTGAGAATACTCACGTTGTTAACTCATGAAGTTACATTTGATTAATATCAAGGATAGTCTGAAGTAAGTATTTGTAAACATTTATAGACCTTCAGAAGCTTTCAAAAACAAGGATACATCTAAGTTGCTTTAACGCTTTTGCAAACTGCGAAATCGAAAACTCAAAGTTACGCAAAATTTTAGTCTACATAATGAAAATATTTTATTTTTGTTTGAAAAATCCATAGATTTTACTTTAATATTCAATGCTTTAAAAATTTAAACTTGGAATCGTTTCAAATTATCTTGAACCTTTTCAAAGAATAAAAAAGCCAAGTCCACCCCCATATAATTGATTCATACTAAGTTGAATATGAAATGATTAAAACTATGTCTACTTTGAAAAATTTTAAAATAATATGAAGTGATTATGTAACTCCTCCTGGAGCCTTTCTAGGGTTACCGACGGTCCCAAGACAGCGTAAAGGAGGAGGAGGAGGGTTGGGGTTAGCGACCTCATCCTGTAGAAAACTAACTCGATAAAAATAATTCAAACCATTTAAACTCTGCCCTGAGAGTTAGAAGGTCTTCATATCATTCAAAAGAAGTGATTAAGTGGGATATCCCATTTTATTAATCAGTCCCTCGTTGTTTTATTCTTAGGGCCAAGTGAATTCTAAAGAACAATGTAAACATTTATGTGAAAATTCATCAAAATTTAAACAAAGAATATGATAGAAATTAGTCTACAAGTATACGAAAAACAATAACGTGTAAAGTTATATTCCAAATGACTTTAACAATTGAAATTTAAATAGCTTCAATGTTTAATACGTCAATCTAGGTCGAGTTTTCCAGGAGGAATAATCAAAATCAAAATTATCAAAAACAAATAAAAACAAGATCAATTATGTGCTAAACCCTTAAGCAATAATGTTCAAATTCTGAATTTTACTCAAAATTCACCATATGAAGTTCAAGGTTATCAAAATTCTAGAAGCTTTTGGTTACAGGTAGGTTTTGTTAATCACCAAACTGAAAATGCACTAGAGTAAGTTGAGCTTGTCAAAATACGAGTTAATAGTAAGAAATCTGATTGTCCGTTATAATGTTAATTAAAAGAGATCAAAGATTAATTCAAACGTAGTGATTGACCAAACGATTAAATTTCCACAGCTGAATTGATAAGTCTATCTAAGCTAGACCACCATTGAAAACTTGGAAGCATTGGAAGGCGTTCGCACACGAGACCAAAAGTCCTGGGTTCCAGTCCCTCATGCAGAACCATGAAGGCTCATTGTTGAGAGGTCTCGTACTAAGACGAAACGGCCATCCAGTGCTCCCATGTTTTTAAACAAAGCAAGAATTATAATACATTTTAATTTGTTGCTTTCTATATAGCTGCATTTAAGAGTCAGCAGTTAACCATTAATCTCCTTGATAACACAAACGGATCAAAACTGTTTGACCTCTCTTCTCTTTAATTTATAGCAGCAGCTTCTGCATCAGCAGGCCTCAACATACACAGGGGAAAAAGCAACATCCTCAAATACAACACAGAGAACAGCAACCCAACCACAATTGATGGAGAAGCTCTGAAAGATGTCGGAACTTTCATGTATCTGGTCAGCAGTATCATCAATAAACAAGGAGGATTTGATGCAGACGCAAAGTTGAGGACTGGCAAAGTAAGAAGAGCATTCCTACAGCTGAAGAACATATGGAACTCAAAACAACTATCAACCAATATCAAAGTCAGAATCTTCAGTACGAATGTTCAGTACAGTCCTACTGTAAGCAGCTGAAACTTGGAGAACTACTACAACCATTATCAAAAACGTACAAGTATTCCTAAGCAATTATCTACACAAGATATTGTAGATCCGTTGTCCGGATACCACCAGTAACAGTCTACTGTGAGATGAAACAAACCAACTTCCAAATGAAGAGGAAATTTGGAAAAGATGTTGGAAGTGGATGGGATATATATTTTGGAAATCATCAAATTACACCACGAGGCAAACGCTAATTCGGAATCGTGAAGGGAAACGGAAAAGAGGAAGGCCGAAGAACACACTACGTCGGAAATTGGAAAATGATGAATAGCAACTGGAAAGGATTGCCGAGGAAATAGATGATTTGAGAATTCTGGTGGGCGACCTATGCTCTTTCACAAGGTGTAACATGCATAAATAAGTATGTTTCTTTAATTTAATTGTAATTACAATTTAGTGAGTTGAACTCACATGTCCTTTTTTCAAAACTTCCAAAAAAATGTTTTCTAGAATTATAAAAATTATTTTAAAAAATTATAACACAAAACCTTCTTTACTGTTTTTCACATAAAACACAACTTATCCGTTATTGATTAACAACTTATATTGCAACATTACATCTATTAACTGGAAACGATTAAACTTTACAGTTTATATTTAGCTGATGGGAAAGTGACGAAGCATAATGAGTTCACCAGTTGTTGTCCTTGATTTGTTTAACATCGCAATTTCAAGTTTATCTGACATTATTGATATTCTGCTTGAGATGAATGTTAAAAACAAACTAACACGAAACCCCGATTTTAAATCTTTCAAATCCTTATTCATGGGTTAGTTGAAGTTAGACATTAACACCATTGTATGCCGGCTCAATGGTCTAGGGGTTGAGCGTTTGCATGTGAGACTGATAGATCCTGGGTTCGACTCTAGCGAGGCGGGATCATGAGTGAGCACTGATGAGGAGTCCCATACTAGGACCAAACGGCCGTCTAGTACTTCCAGGTTTTCCATGGTCGTCTAGCTTCAATTGACTCATGAATTCAAACATTAAACTTATGCTAACTATTATATGTTTTTTAAGGCTTATGTCATTTATTATGAGTAGTACAGACTTTTCATGAATTATTTTATCAGTTAATTTTAAAGTAACTGCATTTAAGAACAGAGATATATAACATTGATTATGACTTAGTTGTCAATCAGTTTACTCCAACTTATTTGCAAGGAAATTAAAAATATGTAAAACAATAGTATTTATCTTACTTTGCCCAAATTTGTTTGAGTTTCCCAATAACCACCGGTACCATGTTCAGATTCTGCATTAGCCAATAATGTTTTCATTTCATTCTCTTCATTACGTAATATTTCAACAGTTCTCGACAGTATTCCTTTTTCTGCGCGTAACTCACTTAATTGAGCGCGTTTTTGCTTATATATTGTGTTTTTACTACGAAGTTTTGCAACATATCGTTGAAACTGAGTGGGAAAAAAGTTATGAAATTAGGGAAGAAGTGAGTTTTGTAACTCTAATCATTTACTACATATGTATTATGACAAAACATTTCTTGTCTACAAATCAGTAGTTAGCGAGAAAACAATACACAAGATGATGAATAGGAAACTATCACGTTGTGAGGTGTCCGAGTCTGATATTTGATACACAAGCTTCCTAAAAGTGAGCCCAACTGGCTGCTTTAGTGACAAGACTGAGAGTGAGGAAGCTTTTTGGTGAACAATTAAATCGAGTAGTAACTAAACGCCCATTCATATATATGTATATATATCCCTTAGAAATGTTAGCCATATATTTCGGCCAGTGGGGTGTGCTTCATTCTTTGGAAGGGAAAGCGAACTCTTGGCTGATGGCTAATTGGCCTACTGTATCAGAAATCTAATATTTTTTGAGAGAGCCGTCCAGTGTTTCCAGTTTTTCAGTGGTTATATGACGTAGATCGATTGATGATATTAATTAAATCCCTTAATCTTCACAATCCAAAACAAATGATGGATGAATGGTTGCGCAAGATCATGGATCAACGGAAGTTAGATATCAACACAGTTGAATGCTGGCTCAGTGGTCTAAAGGTTGAGTGTTCCCGCGCATACCCGATGGCACTGAGTTCGAGTCCTGAGTGCGCGATTGTGGATGCACACTACTGAGTCACATATTAGGACAAAAAGGCCATCCAGTGCTTCCACATTTTTAGTGGTTGTCTTGCTTAGGTTGGTTCATGATTGCTATAAAATTTTTGGAAAGTATTTGACCCTCTTTATCTCTTTAAATACATTACTAAACTATTGGCCTAACGATAAGAATATAATATGTTTGTGTCATTTTAATTTGGTTGTTTATTTATTTCTTTAAAGAAACGATTTACAAAAGGTAGCAGAACGTCAGAAACTCAATTTTCTGCTCATTGGGATATAACAAATACACTATTGTTTTATTATTATAAACAATCTACCGGTTGCTCAATTTATTTGAAATTTTTAAGTCAAACTTTGGTGTGAATACTAACTATTCTGATAATTTGAAATTTATCTAAGTTCCAATTGAATTCAGAAGTATTCTTATGGTTAAAGGAACCAGTAGAGATATTTGAAACTTTGTTTCGGAATAGATAGCACTCATTAACAAGGTAAATCTATAATATTTAGAAAAGTGATGTTTCATTCAAGATATATATATATATATATATATATATTGTTAAGGTCATAAATCGGCTGGTGAGATTATGAATGTTTATCAAATGAGGTGGCTGAGACATTTAGTAAGTATACCTGACCATTTCCAACCTTAACACTCTATGTTTGCTTGTACATGAGTAGGTTGGAAGAAAGTTAGAGGTAACCAAACCAAGACATTAATATCAGTTCATGACTGTTGGACTGAGTACAGCTGGTAGTTGCAGACTACCAGGTTAAGGATGTTGGTTGGCTTGACTCGCAATTGGTCTCAATTGCACAAATTGATTCAAAAATTACCTCTATAATCTTCAGTCCAGAAATTATACTAAACTTTAATCCTGAGAATTTATACTTTCTTCCCGAATCATATTGTTTATGCCTAATGTCATCTACTTTCACTGATATTGTTACTTCTACTACCCCGATATTTATCTTGATAATCTCATCCGATTGTACTGATATGATGTGACAACTTGAACCGATGCATATATTTGGTAGGTTTTGATTTGTTTAGAATTGACTGACTGATTGATGTATACAAAACTCTTTATCATGAAAACAATTTAGAATAAAACCAACTACAGCTTACTTCATCAGTCTTTAAACAAGACAGATCTAACGCCTTATTTATTACAGTCCCATTGCCATCTCCATTCTGATTAATAGTTGTTGATTCACCCAATTGATTTTTCATTTCTTCAAGACGATTATTCAATTCAGATAGTCTATTACGTGTTGTTGTTAATGTTTCAGCTGCTGCTAATTTTTTACGTCTTACAATAGCAGCTTGCTGACGAAATAATGAAATTTTATCATCAAATGGTTCATTTGAAATCATACGTTTTTCTATTAGTTTATTTAATTCAGAATTTGCATCACGTAGCTAAATTAGATTGAATATGCGAGGAAGAAGATGAGAAAAGAGATTATATTTAGTTAATCAAGCATAGTAAGTTATATGAAAGTGTAAAAATTAAAAAACATTTTTACGTAGCTCAACATGTTATATTCAATGTTGTCGAGTTTTATACTACGGTTAATAACAACACATGTACAATAGTAAAATTGAATAGATCGGTAGCTGAATACCGAGACAGTTATCTGATTGCTAATGAGAGAAACTACCTTTGTCAACGTATAGTAACAACTTCTTCCTGTAAATATACATTTAAACTAAAGATGGCTATTCGTAAATTTAAACTCCCCATATGTGTACAAAAACAATTTGTCGTAACCTTGAATTTACTTTGGTAATCCTTAAGTGATTTTATGGCCTAAGATAATGCGACAGTTTCATATTCTTTCTATACGATTTAAAATTGTTTCTCTCCTCTTTATAATGACTTAAATTCCAAGAACTCTAAGCTGATCGTGATTAACATAGAATAATAATTATCATTTCAACGAATTATTTGAACCTTATCTGTTTAGCAATAATAGCGATATGTTTATCAAGCAATCCGACTGAAAGAAAATGATACAGTACAGTTTGGTGGATTTCATGGTACTCGACAATACCGGCAAGATAGTATCAGCCAAAAACTATTCTAATAAACTTGTATAATCGAATTTATAAATGAATAATGGTGGATTGGTGAAGTTAGACATTAACACCATTGGATGCCGGACGGCTCAGTGGTCTAATGGTTAAGCGCTCGTGCGCGAGATTGATAGATCCTGGGTTAGAATCTCGTGAGGTGGCGGGATCCTGGATGCGCACTGCTGAGGAGTTCCATATTAAAACGAAACGGCCGTCCAGTGCTTCCAGGTTTTTCATGGTGGTCTAACTTCAACTGACTCATGATTTCAACTTGAAATTACTAAAATCTCCACAAAACCCCTTCTGAGAATAATGGCATTATTGACAAACAATTAAAGTAAAGACAGTCAATTATGTTAAATTAAGATTGCCTCAACCAAGACCATGAGATACGTAAACTAAGACTCAAAACAGAAAGGGGATCATCATATAATAACGGTAGCACGATTAAAGAACCGAAATAATAATAATTTCATCAGGACCAAAAAACCAGTGACATATATATGATTGTAGGGATGAAGGGGAGTTAGGTAACATGTAAGGTTAAACAAAAGATTATTATTATTATATGGAAAGTAGATTGAAGGGATTTTCCAACATACAAAGGATATATTTTGTGATAACTAACCTTACCATAACTAATTTAATTTGTGGATAATTCACAAAATGAACAGATATTAGATAGAGTGTTACTAAAAATTTAACAGATCTGGTTAAATGTTTGATACTAATTTTACATTATGAATAAGTACTGTTGAGGAGTTCAAAACTGGGTTAAGAACTATTGTACAGTACTTTATAGTTAATGTAATTTCATTACAAAAATTACTTTTAGGTAATCAATAAATACCTCTAACATCTTTTCCTTAAATTTTAATTCTAGTAATTCAGTGTGAATACATTATGAATAAATTTAATAATTTAACAGCATAAATTAGTTGTTTAAAACAAGCTTTAGACAATAAAGTTGTAAATGGCTGATCGACTACAAGAACAAACCTAGCTTGTATAAATTAAACTGAAGATAGTTAACGTAAAACTTTCGATGTATCAGAATGTCAAGTTTACATTAAGTTATTAGAACTAAATCGATCAACCAACATTTTTGTACTGTAATCGATACTCACCAAAATCGAAATATATACCATATATTTCTAAGATGGCTGCACAGTATCGCCAAGAGTTTGAAGCTAAACAATCTAAATCATTGTATATCGGTTTAATGGTCTAAATGTTAAGTACTCACCAGGAGACCTGACGGTTTTAGATTTGACACTCCGCTTGAGGAGTCTCGTAACAGGTATGCAATGACTGACAGTGTTCAGCGGATGCCCAACTAGAATCAGGCTGTAATGCTTATTATAAAAAGATATGAGAAATGTTGACTTTCTCTCAAGTTCCAAAAAAGCCTGTTTATAATAGGAGACATGTTGACATGTTATTTTATAATCCGCTTACGCATAATTACTTTTAAAGTAAGTAATAAAGTCTAATTATTTTCATAAATATAGTTATGCGTAACTACCACGATTTCTTTTAAATAAAGTCGCTCAGTCAATCAAGCTTTACTGAAGTGTTCTGATTGTTGATATAAAATAAATTAATGCTTAACTAGTATTCAATGGCTTGAACAAAGAACTTTTAAGCATACAATTAAACTGTACATTTTTCTTAAGGTCTAAACGTATTCTATGAATGTCACTGAAGTTATAATTTTCTTAACTGAATATCTATAATCAATGAGATATTCGAAAATGAAACTATTTAGTATTTTATTTTCTTCTCTATAGAAACATAATGATATGTATTTGGAGATATGTTTAAAAAGCATATGTTCAGTGTAAACAATGTAATGATTCCTATAAAACCAAGTTAACTGAAAGATTCACACAGAAACAACCAGTAGATGATATTATTTAGCGAATCTGATGTTTCGAGTAGTCATTCAAGATAAGCGAATACATTCGTCTACTTCTATGTTACTCTACCAATTTAGTTCTGTTAAATAATGTTCATTGACAGTGTTCAAAATTTATTTTTTGAAAGTATGTTCAAATAAATAACATGTTTGTTTTGTTCAATAAGAAAATGAAATATTACATAATCCCAGTTCATATGATTTATTTGTCTCTAAAAATGACTTTGACTAAAAATAAAACATCAGTTTCATTTATAGAATACATTTAAGCTTAATGAGATAAACTTTGTTAAACATTTCTGTTAAACAATAAACATTTCAAGAAAATGATTGTATTCATAAGGTATGATTAGTATTGCATTTATTTCAGCTACAATTCAATACTACTAAAATATATGATATCTAATTATTGTTAGGATACTAACAATTTCTATCACAATGTACAACCATTTCGAAGCTAGAAAAATAATTATTTTCTACAGAGTAGTTGAAAACATAAAAATTAATTCATTGAAAGAAAATAAACTGAGTCATCGAATAGGGAAAATGAAAACATTTTCATTTGTATACTAGATAGATAACATCGTATAATCACACAAATAATCGATTATTCAGACATATAGTTACAAAGGTTAGGAAACTTTCAAGTTGTATATGTTTAAAAAAAGGAAAATAGGATTCCATTGGTTTAATCACTTATTTATAAAACATAACTTGATGAATTCTATAGTTTTTGTCAAAATCTTCCCATAAGATAAGTTAATCTCTTATCCTTTTAAGAAGTACAATCACTATAATTCAAGAAGCTAATAGCTAACAGATGTTAATCAAGTGGAAACATTAGTAATATACACTAATAGTGTGACTGGACAACAAATGACAGTTTAGAAGATCAATAAAGTTCCTATTTCTTCTTATTGTATGTAATCTATATAAGCAAAAAGAGAAATATCAGAAGGGGTTTTGTGGAGATTTTAGTAATTTCAAGTTGAAATCATGAGTCAGTTGAAGTTAGACCACCATGAAAAACCTGGAAGCACTGGACGGCCGTTTCGTTTTAATATGGAACTCCTCAGCAGTGCGCATCCAGGATCCCGCCACCTCACGAGATTCTAACCCAGGATCTATCAATCTCGCGCACGAGCGCTTAACCATTAGACCACTGAGCCGTCCGGCATCCAATGGTGTTAATGTCTAACTTCAACCAATCCACGAAATTGCATCAACATACATCATTGTCTTCAGTGAGCTGATATTGTGGTGTGTGCTACTTATGAGACATAAGTAGTATATGACGTGAGCACTGAACAGAATGTCTGGCGGCAGAGAGATAAGAAGATCGAACAATAAAGAATGAAGACAGAAGGCAATTTGTATGAAAATGCAACAACAAGGGGATTCTGAGTGATTTGAGACAATTGATGAACAATTTGCAAATTAACGATTCAATATATGGTTGTTTGATTTTACTAACTAGTTCTGTAAATTGTTGTTAAATGTATTGGGTTGTCCCCAGTGGTGCTTTATTCACTAAAATATCTCACAGCAGACTTGGTTGAACTCCCCTGGTCACGACTTCTAATGAGAAACTTTCGGGTTTTCCATGGTGGTCTAGATTCAGTTGACTCATGAGCTCAACTATTGGAAAAAGAGAAGTGTCATTTGAACGGAACAAAATAATATCTATTCAAAAATGATCATAAAGTAATCTTTCTTTTGTTTCAAAACTAATGTTCAAACTAAATGGTTTCATTTTGAATTAGGTCATGATTATTCATTATTAGGAATAGATCGAATAAATGTAATGAGACTAGTTGCTGTAATGATACATTAATTATCTGGAACTGAAAGCTGTTAAATCATTCATCAAGATACTTTAATATACAAACATTTGAATTTAATTATCAACTAGGGATTCCATCAAATTCAGTCTCTAAATTCTTGTGATAATAAAAGCTATCAATTAAGATTGTCAAAGATTTATGAAACGATTGTAGTTTGTCAACCAGTAATAAATTTAAAAAATATATTTTCAAGAACTGAAGAGTAATTAACTGACTGCAATATAAATAGAGTCAACGCAAGGTTTCATAAGAATTTCACCTCTCTCAGACGATATCTGTCAAGAACATTTTGACGAATTTCGGTAACAGGACGATGAAATGCTAGTGACACAGTTGACATTGACATCGTCAGCTATCTGATCATCTTCAAATAACCATAAACTAAGCAGATTACAAAAGCGTGACAAATCTTACATATTTCAATTATTATGCAAACATATTAAGCATAGATGGATAGTGCGTAGCAGTGAAATTCAGGCTGAGAGTTTTTTCCTACTTATGTTTCGTTAGCTGGATGTACTTCTATCACAGAGTTGATGTTCACTTCGGGACTGGAATCAAGTACCATTCACCTCAAACGT